GCCGCTTTTCGCATTCTCCAAGGAGGAGGCCACACAGGTCGCCTCCTCCTTCGCCTTCTCCTCCTTCGCCTTCTCCTTCTCCTTCGCCTTCTCCTTCTCCTTCTCCTTCTCCTTCTCCTGGCAGCTCTGGCCTCCGCCAAGCTGCCTGGCGTTCCCCCCGTGACCTACTTGCAAGACCCCATGTCTTGCTGCGTCACCCAACCTCCCAACCCCTCCCTTTCTTTATCCCTCCAACCTTCCATGTTCCAGCTCTTGAATGAGGACACCAACGCTGACGATTCGCATTTGAGCCTTGTCAGCGTCAACAGGTCGCCCAGCGCGCTCGAGCCACCATGCAGCATGGCCCAGCGCACGCCTCCCGCCGCACAACCGCCCCCGCACTCCTCAGCCACGACTGATCGGCCCCCACCCACCCTTCCGGCAACAAGTGCCAGCAAGCTCGGACAATCAACCCCCTCCTTGCAGTTTCCTCCTCGCGGACTGCCACAGCATAGCCAAGCCCAAACCATGCAAATCTCCTCCTCTGCCGCCTCCTCCGCCTTGGCACCCGTGACCACCCAAGCACCCAGCCGTACTGCCAACAGCGAGACCCTCGATAGCCTCTCCAGCTGGGGGAACTTTGATGAAGCCTCCACTGGTCTACTTAATGACATGCTTCAACTCGACCAAATCGACAGCCTCTGGGACCACGTCACCACAGATCTGGCCTCCCAACCCCCTAATACCTCAACGGCCACGAGTCGCGTGGCAAACCACCCTGGTTCCACCCATGCACACGCCTTGAATCGCCGTCCCCCCACTCGCCAACAGGTCCCACAACCCCATGCCAAGCGTGCAGCCCGCCGACCCCTCGTCGATAGCCACGAAGGTGGCAACCACGATGCCAGCCACGACGACGATGACGACGCTCGAGCCGAGGACAATGACGTGGATGCCGACGACAATCACGATGATACAGACCCCGATGCGACACTCAACCACTCTGGCCATCAATCAGGTGTATCCAAGGCCTCGACCCCCAACGATGCATCCCACACCTCCAGCCAGCAGCGCTTCACATGCAAGCTCTGCGGCGCAAGCTATGTGCACCGCCGCAGCCTGACCAAACACCACCGCCTCAAGCACGCGGCCAAGCGTGACAACACCTACACCCAACTTTTAGCCCATGATGGCCGACCTGGTGCGCCGACCGACAAGCTGGGCCGGCTGGATCAAAGCCCTCTGTCACCTCAATTGGCTTCCCAGGCTTCTTTGTCAGGCAGTCCAGGCTACTATGGCCCTGTCAAAAGCCCAGGGCTCCATTTGCCCCACCTGCCCCCACATTTGCAGGCCAAATTCTTGGGCATGGACTCGGCCACCAGGCTCCAGCAACTCATTAGTGCACCCACCACCAGCACCCCAGCCGCCTTGGATGCTGGTACCGCTCCTGTGCTGGGCCACCCACACCTGGCCCGCCACGGCATGGAAACTGGTCCAGGCCTACATCAATCTTTCCCCGGAGGTCTCGTCGATGGCGGGCGCGTGCTGAATAATCCTGCGCAAACCATGGCCAGCAACAACGGCCCGCCTTTGCAACCCAGCCAGAACCTTGCAGGATTGATGGCCAGCGCTGCCAGCTCCCTGCCCAGCAACGCCAATAGCCCCAACCCTAGTCTGCTACGCCCATCCTTGTCGAACCCTGTCCCACCAAACATGCAGCAAATGCAGGCATCGCGCCTCCTCTCCCTTCAACAACAGCAGCAACAACAACAACAACAACAACACCGACATCAGCAACAGCAGCACCATCAGCACCATCAGCACCACCAACAACTGCAGCAACTGCAGTTTCAGCAGCAACTGCAACTTCAACAGCAACAACACCGTTCAATCCCTACCACCATGGGTGTGACCCTGCCCGCGGCCACGGCAGACCCTGCAGCACTGGATAGATCAACCACGATTACCCTCTCTCAAACAGATATGAACCATGTGATGCAAGGTATGGCTGCAGGCAACAGCACCGCGCAGGGCATTTACTCGGCCATTCTCTTGCGCCGCATGCATCAGCAAGCAGTGCATACCATGGTCCGTCGTGTTGCTGAAGATCTGCTGTCCGTGCACCGCTGTCCGGATCAAATGGGTCCAGACCAACTGGCTCGCAGCATTCGAGCATATCACGTGTTGCAGGCATACCACAACAGCGGTACCAGTGCTCCCTGAGACTGAATGCCGATGTTTGAATGCCTTGAAAGCCCTGTTATTATTGTTGAATCCAGTGTGGGCTCCTGTCAGCAATTGGCACCTTGTGGGTGCCTGTCCTGCAGCGCCTGGACTGAGTATAAACTTACGTATATGTTGCATGATCTGATATAATAGCCGTGACACAATGGCCTGTGGCCCGCCGTACTTTTCCTTCATCTTTCCCTTCATCTTCTCCTTTTCCGATTCCCCCCTTTTCGTTTTGGAATGGCCATTTACTGTTCCCGTGCATCGAGTTTCATTGTCTGCTATATGACGGTCGATGAGTTGTCGTCCTAACCGTGCAGATCCGCTGAGCGGATGATCGTGTTTTCCTCTTATTGTGTGTATGTGTGTGTGTATGTGTGCGCGTTGTGTGTTTGCCGTCTCTCAGAGTTGCCCTATCTTTGTCCTCCCTTGGCTTACCTGAGCTTTGGACTTTGTGCCTGACCCTTTCTTGCCTCGCGCATGTTTGCTCTCTTTTTTTTTTTTGACGAATTTAGCGCTTTGCTGTTACCCATCTTCCCTTCCGAGTGCCACAACCTTTTGCGCCTGAACGGGTTTGGATCATACAGCCAACTTTTTGTTTGCTGGGGAGGGGCTGGTCGCGCTGGTGTAGCGACTTCTTCACAATAGAGTTCTTCTCGAGCATGTTATCACGAAGTTTTGAAGCAATGTGTGTGGGACGGGACGCGCTTTTCGTGTTCAAAATCGATTTCGCAAAAGCAATTTCACATGCATCCAAACCCCTCACCATCACCATCTGCAAAGGAGACGGCAGCCGTGCCGGAAGGAGGGGCCGAAGGTGATACGAACGCTGATGCACACACGACAGCAAGAGCCGTTTTTGCTGACCCGATCTGCGATCTCGTTTCTTCGACTTCTTCGACCCCACCAAATGTTCTTCGGCTTCGTGTTCACACGTTTTTTCGTCCACACGACACAAGCTGCATCCGGCCGACGCAGATGCCGAGAGGCCTGTCGGAATCCATGTTGCACAGCACAGTGCATGAACGGAGATCACGGATTCGTTCTTGTGCTCATGTTCCGCAAGCGGGACAACAACGCTTACGATTTGCTCATGGGGCCGCAGGTGCACGAATTCCTGGACCCGACCCTTCTTTTTTGGGTTGTGCCGAGGTGTCTGGGTCGGTGTCGCCGCGGTTGCGGGTATCCAGTGAGGCGTTTGGTGGGCGAGCTGCTGGGTTGATGATACGTTGACTCCATACCAGATTAGGGGACTGGCTGGGACAAGTGGAGGCCTGCCCAACCCAGAAATCGGTACGCACGCAGACGATGAGGTTATATAAAAAAAAAAAGCTCCTGCGTCCTTCTTCAACCACTTGGCTCGGCATGACTCGGCGGCAGAAAGATCTCATGTCCTCCTCTTGATTTTGGTTGAGGTCCACCGAACAATCTCGCCCACTCACCCATGATACCCCCCTGAGCACCTCGCGACGCCTCGCCGCTCGTCTTCCATAGGACGAGGATGCGTGCATTGGCAATACAGGTCTAACTTTGAAATTACCTCTCTAAGTTCAATCAAAGGCTTTTCGGAGATACCTCCCTCTAAAGTGAATGTATGTGTTTCTCTAAATTGTAATGGTTGATTTGGCTGACATTTAGAGAGACGAGAGAGGTATTTTACTTTTGAGTGCTGCTGTGTGTCTCTGTCTCTCTCTCTCTCTCTCTGTCTCTCTCTCTCTCTCTCTGTCTCTCTCTCTGTCTCTCTCTCTCTGTCTCTCTGTCTGTCTGTCTGTCTGTCTCTCTGTCTCTGTCTCTGTCTCTGTCTCTGTCTCTGTCTCTGTCTCTGTCTCTGTCTCTGTCTCTGTCTCTGTCTCTCTCTGTCTCTGTCTCTGTCTGTCTCTCTGTCTGTCTGTCTCTCTGTCTCTGTCTCTGTCTCTGTTTCTGTCTCTCTCCGTCTCTTTCTGTCTCTGTCTCTGTTTCTGTCTCTGTTTCTGTCTCTCTCCGTCTCTCTCTGTGTCTCTCTCTTTCTCTGTCTCTCTCTTTCTCTGTCTCTCTCTTTCTCTGTCTCTCTCTCTCTCTGTCTCTCTCTGTCTCTCTCTCTCTGTCTCTCTCTCTCTCTCTCTCTCTCTCTCTCTCTCTCTCTCTCTCTCTGTCTCTCTCTCTCTCTCTCTCTCTCTCTCTCTC